GCACTAAGTCCAGTGTCACAGAGGTCATCCTTTATTATGTCTGATTTTCATCTTCCCTTCTATCTCCCAGAACTCCAAACACTCACAGTATCACAAATGTCACAACTGAAATGTACTTTCTTTGCTCCTCTCCTTCATACAACTAAGTTATATGTTGCATGTTGCTCCATGAGCCTCCAGTGATTTCTATTTGATCTGATTTAGTCTTACCCAGGAGCACATGGCTCCAAGTAAAGAGTTTCCTCTGAAGCAATTTGGTAACATTACCCTGGTATTAGCAAGTTGCCTGTGTCCACTGCCAAGAAGCTGTGGTCCACTGGTAGATATTAAAAGAACTGCAGAGTAAAAAATAAAACCACGTCTAGAAACTTGCTACCAAGGGAATGGAGTTCATTCTGTTAAGGAGACTAAAGAAAAATACACAAGGCTTTTAGTTTGGGAATTTCAAATGCCAAAATCAGGAGAAAAACAGAATATCAAACTATGAAAAGTAACTTGACCTATGTGGGGAGTGGGGACATAATTTCTCATATTGAGTGGAGCTATACCTACTTTAAAGAAAATATGTTGCCCGTAAATATGGAAAAAAGTCCTTTTTAAATGAAACACCCCTCAAATGAGTCAACAATTTATCAACAGAGCACTCAAGAAGATTTCTTGCTATATACATATTTTATCTGAATTCCTATCTATACTTTCAATGCACACATAATTCATACCCTCAGATTTATAATCCATTATAACCACTGCATGAATTTTACCTATCACAGCAAAATCCTATTGTTTGAGGATTATTTTGGATGAGACATATCAATGTCTAACCCTAGGACATCTTCCTCTAATATTGGGCAAGAACAAGACTATTAAGATGCCCTGTGGGTATGTGTGACAGAGAAAATTATGTCTCTCTAAAGCCAAAGACAAGTCAAGTAAGTGGCAGGGAATTGAGAAATGAGAAAATATGAGCCATGAAGAATGGTGGTGGAAATGAAATGAAACAATATGGATTTAGTTTTGGAGAACTGAGAGGAGTGGCAAAAGGACTCTGGAAAACACACCACCGCTAAGGGTTTTCACTGCACTGTCTAAATATCTGTACCAGACACTGCAGCTGAGAAAAGGTTAACACTTGGGCCCTTTTTGCCCCTGAATCTCTGTGGCTGTCAATCTAGCCTAAAGCCAAAGAACAAGTCTCACTGGCTCTTTCTGCCAGCCCTCCCACATTCCACTCTATCCCTTCCTGTGCATTCTGCTCAGTAAGCAGCCCACCCACAGCATCTTCCCTCTTTCATCTTGCCAGGGCCCTTTTCCCACCATCCCTGAAACAATTACCCAAGCAGTGGCTCCACTCTGGATCATCATAAGACAGCAGCCAGCCAGAAGCCTGGGCTGCCTTGAGCCTTGTGAGTGGATATGCCAGGCATCTGTCGAAACTCTCCAGTGAGGTCAAATTAGTGGGGGGCAGAGGGAAGTCTCTTTGAATGTGAGAATACCATGGCTGCTGTAGGACACAGAGTTATTTTGACTTGGAGCTTAATAAGGCTCCACTTCAATAGGACCTATGTGTCCTGAAAGATAAGGGCAGGGATGGAAAGACCCCGCTTACTTCTGCCAGCTGCATGTTGCGTAAGCAAGCAGGATTATAGTCAACCACCAAAAAATAGGTCTGCTCTTTAGAATGATGTCCCCTTCCTAGCAAGATACCATATCCCTCGATGTCGGCAGAGCAGGGTTCGTGAGAAAATCTGTGCTGAACTTGGAAGAGGAAGGAGGTTGTGATTGCAGGAGAAAGTTCTCTGTAAGGCCAAAGCACCCTTTCTGTATAGAGCTTAGAGCACAGTGAATGCTGAGTGTCGTGGGCAAGAGACTTAATAGGATTAGAAAGATGGAATGGATTTCAGGGAAAATACCTAAATGAGGATGTTGTAAAAGAGAAAGATGTAAATAGATGCAAGGGTCTTCAGACCATCAAAGTAGTCATCATCGTTCCCTAACCATTTTTATTTTTATTTGTTGTTGTTGAGGTGATAAGTCATGTCCGTTTCTTTGCGACCCTGCCAGGCTCCTCTCTCCATGGGGTTCTCCAGGCAAGAATACTGGAGTGGGTTACCATTTCCTTCTCCAGGGGATCTTCCTGGATCATGGATCAAACCCATGTCTCCTGCACTGGCAGGTGGGTTCTTTACCACTGAGCTGCCTGTCAGTGGGCTCATAGGGCTTCCTGTCACTTCACTTATCTACACTTCAATTTTTGCATCTGTAAAGCAGGTGATATCACTGAGATATAATTGATTTGTAACATTACATGCATTTCAGGTATACAACATTATGATTCAATATATAATATGTGTCAACCTGACCATCTTGATGCAATGCTGAATAGGTAAACTTGAGTGACCTTGCACTTAGTAGGCTAAGAAAATATTCCCTGGGGGTGGGGGGAGCTTAATTTGGGAAAATTTCCCTAATTCTCATTAAAGTAGACCAGAGAGGTTTTCTCTGGAAGAACTTCTAAGGAAAATTCATGGTGCCATTTGTAAGCCATGACTAAATTATCTGTTTCTATGAGCCATAGATAGGCATCTGCCATATCCCTCTGCCTTCCAACATGACCTGACTTCAGCCACCTCCAACAGATAGATATATATTTTCTGTTTGGGAATACTCTTCTTCATTTAGAAATGTCCACCATTTTTGTGAAGAAATCACAATGAAGAATCCTTACTAGTTCCAAGTTAATCCTTAGTTAATCCTTAGTTTCAAGGCTACTTACATCTTAAATACCTCCCTAATGTTCTACTTAAAATTTTTACCCCAGGAAAAATGAGACCTCGTGGGGGCTGAGTCACAGCAAAAACAAGCAAAACTTCAGTTATCAATTCCTGTCTTTGAAGATAAGGAAAAGGAATGTTTTCCTTTGAATACAGTGGAGGAGATACGTCAAACATCACCCAGGAGCAAACTTAGCCCTTATGGGCTACTTAAATGAAAAGGTAAACAGGAATCCATGGATTTTTTCCCTGAGATGTGGTTTTAAGCCCTGACATGTGCTAGAGGTGATCTAGCCTGAGATTCTGGAAGACATTACACGGCCTCTACCTCTGCAATTCCTCCAGGTACAAGGCTCCCAGGTTACGCTCGCTGTCACATGTCTTGCCTCCTTTAGCCACAGCAACTCAGAATTTCCCAATAACTAGACTCTCTGAGACAACCAGTTGGATGAGGACTAAAAACTTAACTATAATTGATGAGCTCATGTGAAATATCTCTGACCACTAGATGCCATCATTCAATTCTAGCCCAATATTCAGAGCTGCTTCTTTAAATTGTAAACCTACATGTTTTGGAGTGGGGCCCTGGAAAATGACAAAAAATCTCTGGAACAAATGCCCAGAAAAGCCTCAGAAGTCTGAAGCCAGAAATATATTTCAGGCAACTGTTTCACTGAGGGCTGCCTAGTGAGAACTACAGATTAACATTGTCTCCATACATGTATGTTATTTCCATGATTAACAGCCAGTTAAGCCCTCAGACACTGCAAACCAAGATGGCTGCAGAGTCTTTATCCCCAGTTTATCTCTAACTGGATGGGCATCCTTCCTGGAGAAGCAGTGGGCTGTATATATACCCCAATCTCAAAGCAGTCTGGACAAGCTTCCCATAGTCTGTTGAAAAAGAGTGGCCCAATGAGTAAAGCAATTATTTTTTTTTTAAATTAAAAGATGCAGAGGTTTACTAAATCTGAACAAGCGCCCACATTTTCTTTTTGGGAGTGGAACCAAGGGATGATTCAGATGGGGAGACAGGCAGCAGGGTCTAGGGAATGAAGAGTCATGAGATCCCAGTTTTATTCCTGGCTCTGTCAAGAGTTGCCATGTGACTACCAGCAAGCTACTTCTCAGTGGGTCTCTCAGTTTTCCCTTCTCTAAAAGAACACAGTCTTAACCCTGTCCTGTAATTTATTCTATGATCTCCTTGCAAAAAGGGAAAGGAAGGGAATATATGAGGTGTGGTGAAGGGCTAGCTAGAGGGAGTGCTAAGCTCCTAAGACCTGGACACCGGGCATGTACAAGTATCCTTCATTTTCAGTAAAGAAACTTGGCAGTATTTCTGATCTAGACAACTGATGAAGCAGAACGTTAGCCTGACTTGATGCAACCTGAAGTTTAATGATTAAACAATTCAGGTTAAAGGACATCATAGGTTAGATGGCACCATCTATTAGAAAAGTATGAGCCCACAATGCAGCTCCAACAAGCATGTTAACACCCACAAAAGAATTCAAAGGGTATTTGTAAGTCAGAAGATCTTTAAGAACTAGAACATTTTTACTGAGGGAGAGGAAGCAGGCAATGAATGAAAGTAGGAGAGGCACCTCACTTATAATAGCCAGAATGCGTAAGGCTTAGTAATTGAACACTTTCTTTTTTAATCTCAAGTTTGTAAAGATTCAAACTTCTTATAACGGAGGCTATTTTTTTCCTACTAATTCCAATTTCAGAATAGACAATCAGTGAGATATGTGTATACACACATATGTGTATATGTGTGTATATATACACAAAATACAAATATGTAAACATATATATACACACACATAGATATAGATATATATGTATATCTATCTACACCTATAGATACAGATATATACACAAAATCTGTCATTAGCTTAATTTAAGGCAAGGTTAGCTATCAATACATAGAATTTGGAGAGGGAGGGTAGTTAGCTTATTATATAAATGAGCAAATGAAAATCACTCCTTGACCTTGGTAACTTTCAATTCTGGAGCAAAAGGAAGGAGCTTGAAGAGAAGAGACAAAAAATTCAAGTCCAGTCACATCAGTACAGTTATAACTAGAAGTAGCAGATGGCACCTTCCTGTCAGGGGATGATGCAGCTGCCAGTTTGCCAAAATGGGACCCCCCCCGCAACCCAGTGCCATCAGTTTCTAGCTCTTCTACCCTCAGGCTCACACACCACCTGAGGAAACTACACATACCTCTTCTTCCAGCTTTACCACCTTGGCCTGGGCATTGCTCAGGGCCTGGTCTCGGATTTCGATGTGTCGCCTTTGGTCCTCATTGGTAGAACGGGCAGTGGCCAGCTCCGCTTCCAGTTTCTCCTTCTCACGCTGGCTCTCCTTATCTATCAGGACATGAAATATCAATATTGCCATTCCAGAGCTGGCTCAAAACGTTACCTGAGCAAAACTGATAGTCATACCCATTCCTGGACATTTTAGTGTTCTAACACCCAGTGACAAGAAGCAGGACGCCGAGATCGGGACTCTTACCACTGGTTCTACCACTAAATTGCTGTGTCAATTTAGAAGTCACTTAAAAATGGTGGTTTGTGCAGAAGCAATGAGAAAACAAATGTCAAAAGTATTGTGAAAAATATTATACAAAGGTGAACACAAAAACACATACAGACACACATATGTCAGAAGAACAGGTAGGCTTGTCTCCTCCATTTTATTTCTTCAAACAGTCTTGTATTGGCCAATGAGCCATTGAGCCTCCACAAATTTTCCCCATCATTTCCTCAATAGACAGTCTATTAAATCAATAAAAAAATCGATATTAAACCGATCAGAAAAAAATGGTATTTCATAAAAATGCATAAAACTGGCAATGTCACCCTTTATTCACTAACATAATTTTCAAACTAAGGTCAATCTGAGATCACACTGTAGGTACAGATGACCATGACACACGTAGTTATGTCCCATGCCTTTCTAGGTCCCTCCACTTTTAACTCTGACAGACCTCACATAAAAACTCAAATGAGCAGTTTTGATTCTCAGTGCAGGAAGAGTGCCCTTCCTCTCAAGACAGGGATACTTAAGTCTTCAGGAGAGACTTTATTTGGCTACACCACAAGGCATGGCATGTGGGCTCTTAGTTCCCTGACCAGGGATCAAACCTGCATCCCCTGCCTTGTAAGCTTAGTCTTAACCACCGGACTGCCAGGAAAGTTCTTGTAGGAGAGACTTTAATAGGGCAGCCTACCTTCCTTCCCATCTTGACTTTACATACCTATTCAGATGTACCTTGGGAAGAAATAAATATTTGTTGAATACTTATTGCATACCAAGTATTGTACTAACTTAATCCTCAGAACAACCATACACGGCAGGTGTTGTATTATTCTCTTCTCCATTGTGCATATGCGAAAACAGAGCCTCTGAGAGCTTGAGTAACCTGTACCATGTCCCACACCCTTAAGGCCAGGTTGTTCTGAGCTCTTTGTACTGTACCAGACTGCCTTCTCCTAGGATTAGGTTGGTCTGGCCTGTCTAGAGGGCCTTTTCAAGAGTGTTTTCTTGGCTCCTACCACACTTCCAACCATGTAGCACCCTGTGGATGCCTAAAGGCAAAAGAAATGACAGAGCCACACAAGTCATGCCCTCTTCCCTACCTACTAGGCTCCTTCTAGAACCGTTTGATAGTCTTAGACGCTGCTGCTAATACAGTTTGATCTACTAAATGACCACATTTGAGAAGCCAGCAGCAGAACTCTCAGGACACCTGAAATACCATTTCCACACAGGGAGAAGTGTGAAGTTGCAGATCCAGGGCCAAGAACCCATACATTCTCTGGTTTGTTTTAAACTGGGAGGCCACCACCATCTCCACCAGCAAAGTAGCTCCCAAGGAACACCACAAAAACAACTTCACAACAACTTACACTAAGCACTGATGACACCAGAAATGCGACATTCCTTCCTCTAAGGCAAACTGACAAAAGAACAGGAAGCTCAGGGAAATGAGGAAGGGAAAAAAAAAAAGCCCCAGTTCTGAAGCCAAAGCACAAGAGAGCAACCCAGGAAGGGAGGGGGATATTTTAAGTGAAGATCAAACAAACTTGTAAAAGCTGACTGGAAGTCGCATGGAATGACTTGAAAGGGTCATGTGGAGGCCCAGCAAAGATGTGGCCCGACGGATCCCCACGAAGCACTTCTCCAGTTGAGAACCGCACTGGTGGAGGCCGAGGGTAGCGGCCACCAAGCCTTGGGCATCTGCAGAAGTCAGAGGAGATCATCTATTTCCTCCGGACTTGTCTCTCCCTGTGGACTGTGTAGTTTTTTACTGCTGCTTTTACTGTGGCAGTTGGAAAGAATGAAGCATTGTCCAGCTGGGTGGAGTCCACTAGGGACCCGATAAAGAAAAAGATTAATTCATTGTCCCGGTCCTAGGAGTATTTCCAGACAAAGGAAACACTATTAGGAGGAAGACATAGCTCTGCCCTCCCGCACAACCTCCAACTCCACACTAGAGTCACTAGCTGAGGCCTTAGCTGTGGTCTCTCTCTAGTTCTCCTTGCAATCCTCCAATATGGAATCATATGGTATAAAAAGGGTGCTGACGAGAGCCCCAGGTACAGGCTAGGTATTCTAAGCACTAGTCTCAGTCCTACGTGGTAATCTCATCTCTTACAGAACCAGCAGATGCAGCCTTCAGTGATAAGTCCCTTCAATATTAAGGGACCCCAAGTTTACCAAGGTCCTTTTCAGCTAGCTGTGACAAAAAGCCGGAATTCCAAGAGGCATCTCTGTTTTAATACAGAAGGAGTTATGTTGATGTGACTCGGTGTTGTGGCAAGCAGCCTTCGTGGCCAGAAGGAAAAGAACACAATCTCCCAACTTGATGCTTGAACAGGAAAAAGAATCCTTAGATGACATTCACTCTTTCCTGGCTGTTTTAGGAGGCTATATAGAACTGCATCACCTTTTCATATACCTCATTCCCACTCGTACATGAATACCTGCTGCTGAAGCTTTCAGACTTACTTTTTGCAAAGAGCTGAGAGATGGTTTTTCTGGTATCTTCTGACCCCTCATATTCCTTCTCTGCAAGCTGCTTGTTGGCCGTCTCCAGACGCTCTGTGGAATTTGGAGACAATCAACAGGGCCCTGAGGACAAACTTCCAAGCACAAGCTATTTGCCCTCTAAATACTGATCTTGAGCAAAACAAGTCTGTCTCTTCTTATTACACAAGAAGGGGTGACACAGACAAAGGTTTGCAAATGTGGATCCCAAAACAACACTAGACCATGACAGGCAAGTAGGAGGCAAGTACTTTAACACTTTCACTCCTCACTGACAAAACCTAAGTGCAAATTTCTAGATTCCATCCAAGGAATCTGTCCCTGAATATATGATATTTTTCATTCACTGGGAAAAAAGAGCACCAGAGTTATTATAAAATGTTTAAATTTAAATCTTTATAAAATCTTTAAAGTCGGAAAGGAAAGGAAGACAAGTAGCATAGACTATGGGGGCAGGCCAACTGGGTCCAGGAGACCTGAGAGGAGTACCGTCTGATTTACACATCAGTTCATCCCACTTTGATTAAGAAAGCTTAGGACCAGACACGACTGTAATCACAAAAACCTAGCCTGTCTATGCTCTGCAATTTGCTGACCATCCCAGTGGGCTGGACAAGACCTAGAAGCCTCACCATGTGTTCCTTAGCTTAGCCCTTCCCTTCACCACCCTTTTTTAAAATTGAAGTATAGTTGATTTACAATGTTGTGTTAATTTCTGCTATACAGCATAGTGATTCTGAGATATATCTATATCTATATATATACACATTCTTTTTTATATTCTTTTCACTGAAGTTTATCAAAGGGAATTTTTTTTAATTGACTGCTAGAGGTACTGGTGGGCTCTGACCTCCCTTTCTATCATAAGATATTGAATATAGTTCTCTGTGCTATACAGTAGGACCTTGTTGTTTATAGTAGGACCTTGTTGTTCCCTTCAACGTCTTGACTGATACCCTCAGTGACTCTCTCACCTCTCAGATCCCTGTTGAAGTCATGCATTCTCCGAATCTCGCCCTCAAGCTTGTTTCTCATAGCTTTCTCCAGGGCCTCTCTTTTGGAGGATGACTTGACAAGGTTCTCATATGCCTCTGAGACTCGCTGGATTTCTGTCTCCACCTGAACAACAACAAAAATGAAAGACAGTGATGATAGTAGGAAGTGGATGGGGGAAGAAGATCTGAAAACATATATGCAAATCCTTAATGACAAATTTTCCCAGGGATTTATGGATGGACAGGAGACAAGCATAACACAGTCAGATAAGAAAAGTTTCCTGGAAAAATTTCTAAGTTCAACCTCAAGCTCAGTAATTAACTCACCAGTCCCCAAGATTTCCTTAGGTTAAAAACAAATATGTTTATCTGTCTTCAGAGAAGGTTGTAGGAGAGGATAAATTTCATAAATAGAGTTACAAATGATTTTCCTTTCTGAGTAAGAATTTTCTTAATTTAGAAAATAATAATAATATATATAGTTACTGCAAAGCATTCAAAGGGTTTTTATATGTTTATTTCGATCCAGGCTGATATTGGCCTACACAAGAGTACCTCTCCCCCATTTTAGGAAAGAGAAGACTGAGATGGCCTTTTACTAGAAGGCAGAGCAAAGATGAAACCTAAAAACCCTGAGCCTCAGCCTCATTAGCTAGTTCAGTTCAATTTAACAAACATTTACCAGGGGCCAAATATTACAAGAACTCTTTAAAGCACTGTGGGGTGTGTAAATATGAATAAGGACATTACAATTGCCCTCAAGAAGCTTTCAATCTAATCAAGTAAAAGAATACCAGGAAAGATATGTTATTAAGAAAAGTTGGAGTAGTGTTATAAATTGTAGGGGAGAAAGAGGTTGTTCCTGTTTGGGGGTGAAGGGAGAGGCGAAGAATTCCAGGGAGGAGGTGGCATTTACAGTCAGATCCTAAAAGCTGGGTTAAATTTCAATGAGCAGAGGTGAGGGGAAGGGTATTCTATTCTAAGTGAGCGAATGCATTCCCAGAATGACCAGTAGTCTCATTTGGCTGTACACTGTGGGGTACACAGGGAGAAGCTGGTAAGATCTGGCTGCAAAGATAGATTGGAGTAAGATCATAAAAGGGCTTTAATGCCAGGCATTTGGACTTTATCCCGTAGTCAGTGGGACACCATAACAGATTTTTTAACAGAAATTCATGATTAGAGTTGTGTTTTATGACACTCCAGCAAATCTTGTAAAAGGTAAACACACACACATATACACACAATGTATACATACACACACAACCTCAAAAAAAAAAGGATCCCGCCCTGAATCAGCCTGAATTGGGAAGAAAACAAGAAATCTGACTCCAGAATCTCTCTGGAACCAGTAGAACTTCATTGTACATATCACAACCACAGAGATATTTGCATATGATTTGTATAAGACAAGTAAACCCCATTGCCTATTGAGTAATTTTCAAGCAAAATCTGACTCCTGCAACCATTCTGCATTCCTTCTCAGCTTTCCACTATCCTCCTTAACAAAGCTCAGGCTACTTTAGGGGGAGAAATATCAGAGCCCCCCTCCCCTGGCCCGTGGGAGACTCAGGGAAAGGTGGGGTTACCAAACAACTCTGATTGCACCTGCCCTAGCTCCAGCGTGATGCCTGAGGCAGGATTGCCTGCAAACAAATGAAGCTTACACCACAGAAAAGAGCAGACTTGAGAGTGTTTTTTTCCTTGCAGATGGTACCAAGATAGCAGCACAGAAGGTGAAAACTGGTGAATGGCATTTAGAGACAAGATCTGCAAGGCCTGAGCCCAATAAAGCTTCTACATGAAATTCAAGTGCTTGGAAGAGAAAATAAACATTTCTATTTGAAAGAGCAGGCTTGGTGCTGGTCTGCTTTGGGCCGTCTTCAGAGTACAAGGTTTTCTAGTGCCCCACAGAATGCCACACCTGGAAGGCAGTCCCCTTTGTTTATGTTTTTATGGAAGTATATTTGACGTACAATATTGTAGAAGTTATAGGTGTACAATATAGTGATTCCTTATTTTTAAAGGTTATACTCCATTTATAGTTATATAAAATATGGGCTATATTCCTCATGAAGTGAAAGTCACTCAGTCGTGTCTGATTCTTTGTGACCCCCCTGGACTATACAGTCCATGGAATTCTTAGGCCAGAATACTGGAGTGGGTAGCCGTTCCCTCCTCCAGGGAATCTTCCCAACCCAGGGATCGAACCCAGATCTCCCACACTGCAGGCGGATTATTAACCATCTGAGCCATCAGGGAAGCCCAAGAATACTAGAGTGGGTTGCCTAACCCTTCTCCAGTGGATCTTCCCAACCCAGGAATCGAACGGGGTCTCCTGCATTGCAGGTGGATTCTTTACCAGCTGAGCTACCAGGGAAATTGGTGTTGTGTAACATATCCTTGTAGCTTATTTTATACCCAATAGTTTGTGCCTCTTACTCCCCTCCCCCTATGTTGCTCCTCCCTCTTTCCCTCTCCCCACTTGTTATCACTAGTTTGTTCTCTGTATCTCTGAGTCTGCTTCTTTTTTGTTATATTCACTAGTTTGATGTATTTTTTAGATTTCTCATATAAGTGATATCATACAGTATTTTTTTTCTGACTTATTTCACTTATCATAATACCCTCCAGGTCCATCCATGTTGTTGCAAATGGCAGAATTTCATTCTTTTTCTGCCTGAGCAGTATTCCGTTGTGTACACCACATCTTCTTCATTCATCTGTTGATGGACACTTAGGTTGCTTCCATATCTTGGCTATCATACACAATGCTGCTATGAACACTGGGGTGCATGCATCTTCTTGAATTAGTGTTGTTTTTTTTTTTTTTTCAGATATACACCCAGGAGTGGAACTGCTGAGTCATATGATAGTTCTATTTTTAGTTTTTTTGGGAAACCTCCATACTGTTTTCCATAGTGGCTACATCAATTTACCTTCCTACTGGCAGTGTATAGGGTTCCTTTTATTCCGCATCCTCATGGAAGGCAATCCCTTTACTCAAGTTGATCAGAGTACTATTTCAAGACATTGTACCAATCCTTTCCCTACACCGTTTGTAGATACTGCCCCCACCAAAAGTGCAAGTTGTATATCTGTCAACAGGAAAAGAAGTCACAGAAGGGCATATCCATTGGTTTGGTCTGTGATGGGAGGTGAGGGGAGAGAGAGGATGGTGTGGGTTTCCAGGTTGATTCTATCTACTTATTCCCCTCATGAGCCTCAGGCCTTCTTATTTTTTCCAGCACCAGCTGATCTACCTTATTTCCCTCATTTGTCCTCTTCTTAACACACCTGTGCCTCTAACCCACTGCAGCATTGGGTCAGCTTTCACTTCTCCCAGCACTCAAGCTGTCCCAATTGCACTTGGTTGAGGCATCTTTCCCCATATTGGAGAACAAAACAACAACCCAGACTCTGTTCCGCTCCACTTCCCTCCCACCCATCTTCCCCCTCAAAAAAAAAAAATCACTATCCTCTAGAAAAGAGAGTCTGTAGAAGATCTGGGTTCACCCTTCATTTACTACATCAAAGATGAGGCCAGGGCCACCATGAATAGAGAGTTTAAGGAGCAGTGTCAACTATTAAACCTAATCAGCCAAACTGGACCAGTCTGCTTATAGTGTGTGAGTACCAATGTGAGTGGACAGGGGCAGGTATGAGAGAAGAGGGAAAATTTCAAACTGGGGGCAAAGCCAGGAAGAAACATTTCTCACTCAACAACCCCCATCCATCCAGACTTGGGAACATTAGGTATGGTAAAGGCATTTTTTTGTTCTGTAAAAATACTTAGCTGATAATAAGCCCTCCTCTCCTTTAGGACTCAGATCTGGTGTTTACATAGTGTTAGCTTCATTCAGGCCCCTGAAATTTCCACTGCTGGGTGTCTCCTGAGGACAGAGTTACTCAACAGTACCAGGCAACCTCCCTTCCCTCCTCCACCTTCATCCTCACATCCCTGCTGCTGCTGCTAAGTCACGTCACTTGTGTCCGACTCTGTGTGACCCCATAGACGGCAGCCCACCAGGCTCCCATCCCTGGGATTCTCCAGGCAAGAATACTGGAGTGGGTTGCCATTTCCTTCTCTAGTGCATGAAAGTGAAAAGTGAAAGTGAAGTCGCTCAGTCGTGTCTGACTCTTCGTGACCCCATGGACTGCAGCCCACTAGGCTCCTCTGTCCATGGGATTTCCCAGGAGCGGGGAAATCCATTCACTGGAGCGGGGTGCCATTGCCTTCTCCTGTCATTGTGGAGCTCCTTTGGTAATTGTCTGGGAGATCAAACCAAAGGAGCTCCACAATGACAGAAGTTGCAAAGAGGCTGCCAAAGGCAGAACCCTATTCACCACCAGCCACAGGAAGCCAAGAGCTAAGGTTCCTAGCTTAGAGAACGCAAGACCTAAAGTCCCAGCTGCAAGAGACCCAGGAGGGGCCCAGGGAAGAATGTGAACTTGGGACATACACTCCTTTTGCTACTTCCTTAGCCTTGGGCTGTCACCTGTCACCCATCTGTGGTGTGCTAAACCCCTCCTGCCCCCACACACACACCAGAGGAGAGCAGATGTTTCATTTGAGCTGCAGGGAAGGACCAAAGCAAGAAGCGGGGAAAGGAAAGGGCATTGGAAATGAGTTACATTGAGAACTACCACTTGGAAAAGTACTCTAAGCCCTTTCCAGAACAAGGCAGGGAAGGATCTAACTTCAATGATGAGATTTTTCTGGGAACTATGGATTTATAGTTAAGATTCAAATTCAGTATTTTGTATTTGGGAAAATATAATCAAAAGGAAACGTCTTTATGCTGGCAGGTACTTCTCCTACACAGACCTCTCCAGTGTTCTTGACCTTCTGAAGCAGTTTCCCTGCCTTTCATAATTCTCAAACACTCAGTTAAGCTTTCTTGGGGGCTATGGTTTCTGTGAAATGTTACTTCTAGAAAGAGAGGAAGAAGGTTTTTCTAAAGTTTGCTCCATCTAACCTTCAGATATAAGAATCCTGGAAAAAAAAAAAGAATCCTGAAGACCCACCCATAAGTCATACAAGGACCCACAAGTGGACACTTTTATATCAATATTAAACAAATAAGATTTCAAAAAGACTCAAATAGCCCCATACAGAGGTCTCACCTTCTGTAGTCTCGCCACCTTCTCATAGCATCCTTCCAACTCCTGCCGCAAGTTCCGGTTCTCATCTGAGAGAATCTCAACCATCTGCTGGGCTCTGGAAACAATGGCAAAAGGGTCGGCTGGCATTGGCTGATATGAAGCAGACGACTGCTGAGCTCGTGGCATAGCGGAATAGCCTTCTCCTGGTTGCTGCTGCTGCTGGTGATGGTGGTGATGGTGTGGCTGCGGCTGCTGTGGCTGCTGTGGACTCAGGCCAGGCTGGGGGAGACGGTAATGATCCCCCTGGTGAGCCTGGTTAGGAAGGAAATGCTGCTGTGGCCTAGGCAGGTGGGCCGAGTGGTCTCCTTGGCTGGGGACCAAGGGGTGTTGGGCAGGAGACAATCTAGTGGATGGTGGAGACTGCAGCAAGGGCAAGGAACCCCCAGACGTGAGGGAAGAAGTAGGGCTGTGAGGCTGAGAGTTCCGGGCTGACAAAGGCAATGAGATGTCCTGTGTTGGCCTGGAAAACATGGAGGGTGTACTCAAGTTAAGCTCCCACTTAAAGTCACAAGAAAGGGAGACGTGGAGGCTCCCAGGCTCCCCAGAACAGGTGCAAAATGAGGAGCAGGCAGGGTTAGACTACAAGGTCTCTGCTTAGACCTCTCCAGTCCCTTCCACGCCTGGCCTCCTCTCAATACCTGACCCACATAGGTGTGATCCTATGGAGGACAGATCAGATGATCTCAAAGGTTGCTTTGTGAACATCCAAAGTAATGTATCCTTATACACTTGTTTCTCAAGTCTAAGCATTTCAAATGCGACTTTGACAATGTAATTGTCACCTGATGATTTTAAACTAAGCTTTTTCTGGCATACTGTATGTAGCCCAGCACACAGAAATAGTCACAGAAAGTTCGTTCCACTTGCCCAGAAGGAAAGAGCAAACCGTCATCAGATTCACCCCTCATCTTGTTATCTGCAACTCTCTTGGATAATTCATATAGTCAGAAAAAACTACCTGAGGATATACAGGTACTTACTACATTACAGGTACCAAATAATTATTGTTGATGACAGTTGTTAATAACTGAATGATGCTTTTTAGCAGCAATAATTCCAAGAGTTGGAAGGGATTACAAGTAACACTATCATACAATTTGTGATGTACTGAATCACAAAATGTAAGGACTGGAAAGACCTTAAATAAATTATTTAGTCCAACTCTGTCAGTGAACAGAGGGGGAAACTGAGGTCCAGAGAGAAGTATTCTGCCAAATATTACAGAGTGAGTTAAAAGCAGTGCCAGGGTAGAACTTAAGTGCCATTTTCAGGTTCTTTCCACTACTATTAAATATAATGCACTGATTTGTAGTGATGTTCAGATTCCCAACCTATTACTTATAGAAAGTTCCAGAAAGATAACTTTAGCACATGGTTTAATATGACTTTTACATTTTGGTACCTAATACTGGACTATGAGCCATTAATGGAAACAACGTATGCAAATGGATCATTTCCACCATTGCCACAACTAGGAAGAATATCTGTCAGTATACACCGAACACACAAAAAAATTGTTCACCTCCCTGCCCCTGCCCAGTTAACCTAATATACTCCCACATCCAGTGGATGCCTGTCCTACAGTTGATATTTCTCAATCCAGGGAAGACAGATGGCTAAGAGCACACAATTTGGATCCCAACAGAGTCCCAACAGAGTTTGGAGACTTATCCTACTGCTTACTAGCTGTGTAACCTTGCTCAAGTTACTTCATCTGCATGAGCCTATTTTGTTCCCGAGGTCACAAATGAATTACTAAAATACTGGGCTCTTCTCAGTGCTGAGCTCCATAGGAATTACAAACAGTCTCATATCTACCTCCCAATGAGAATGGTTGACCCTGTTAGTGATTTTACTTATGGGATATCCACTTAATCTTTGCACTAAATTGCATAAAAGTTGTGGTGAAACTGGGACAAATCACCAGGAGCAATTAACTTTTAACTGGCATTCCTGATGCTAAAGCACATTCCCTCCCACACATACTCCAGTTATCATTACTGTTCATTTATCTATCACTACAAGAGATCCTCACTATGATGGATTTTTACAGCTATAAAACCATTCCAAACACTTGCTCACACATACCCAATAACCCAGATGTTCAGCAGAGCCCTCAAACCTATTCAAGTCGAAGGTTGTCACTCAATCCCATCAGTGCCTCTGGTGTACCCACATTCTTCCAATTTCACATATCTGCCACTATAAATAATTGCTGAATACTGAAGTGGGCAAACTACTTGTGGACAGAAGAATTTACATGGTTTTCATGATGACAACTGGAAAGCTGCTACCCTACATAACCCTTATGTCTGAGAGTTCAAGGCACTCATGCAATCCGACGCATGGGAGCTGTTTATAAACTTATGAGGGGGGTGTCTTTCTCCATTTTTCATACTGTGGATCTTTAATTTCCTCAGAGGTTAAATGGACTATGTACTCTCCTTCCACTTTGAATAAGAGCTATTATAAATTGGGTTGGCCAATAAGTTCATTTGAGTTTTTCAAAACATCTTACAGAAAAGCCTGAACGAACTTTTTGGCCAACCTTATATATATATATCATTAGGAGTTAAAATATGGCATCCTGGGATCTGTTAGGGCTGATGTCTCAGGCAGAAAAGAGGAGCTGAAATTTCATGTTGTCTAATCCAGTCCTCAAATTTTAAGGGGAAAATGACCATATTAGCATTCATCCTCATTGCCAGCATGTATAAACCCAAGGCTTGGAAGGTACTCTCTTTTAAAGACTCCCCCCAGCTCCCCTGGGTCCCACCGGCAACCTAGACCTCTCTCTCAAACCAACCAGCCACTGACCTCTCTTCCACCTGTAGACCGAAAGGCCTCCCCATGCCCTGGACAGAACATGGCCTCCCAGGGGCCTCGCAGAAGGGGTGACCACGAGGTGCCTGGAAGGAGGCTCCAGAGTTGGATAAGCCCAGGATGGCAGTGGCCATGGCCATGACTGTGGGCTTTGCCTAGAGATAAATGGAGAAGAGGCAGCTGCCCTTCACATTCCCCAGGCTGGAAAAGGAAGCAGATTTCCGTGCACCGTGATGTTGATAAAACCAAGGCAGTCGGACCCTGGCAGGTTTGCAAACACGAAGCAAGGCTTGGGCAGTCGTAAAAGAAGAGAAAGCCCTCCAGCCAACGAACTCCATCTGGATCTCAGCATCCGCCCACCATGAAAAAGCAGGACAGTATTAATGCTTGTGTGAATTTCCCTCTGAGAGAAGGGGACTGAAGAACGACGTGTGTGGGATAGAGTTGGGGGAATGTCAGAGGAAGCAAACCTACACTCAAGACAGAGTAATTGTAATAATGGTAATAAGGGTGTCAGCTGGGTGACAGACATTATCCCCAGCTCCTTCCACTGACATATTAACCAGGAACAAGGCGCGTGCAGACAACAGAATCACATGATCCCATAGAAGCCCTGACCTGCCTCCTTGCCCCTTCCCTCCCTTTGTCCTTCTCCTTCCTAAGACAACCTGGGCCTCCGGTGTTCTGTGGAATAGGAGACCTGACAGACACACGGGACAGAGGCCAGGGACCAAAATCAGCGTCTCCCCAAAGCTGGGGAAGATCCCCACCCAGAGACAGCTTGTGAGGACACAAATGGAAAGCAATCAAGCTGACACTGCAACTTCTACCCTGCCCCCTCGCTGACCGGAGCCCCCACTCTTCCCAGACACATGTCACCCCAACCCCCAATGCACGCAAGACAGTCCTGGCCTACATGTATGCAAGCTCCCCTATACACCCTCTCACCAGATCAGGTGCCAACAGCCTGGAACCCAATTTATTCTCCCCACAGAAACTGCCTTTCCCAGGCTCTATGATGGTCACTCTCTGAAGCCTGGAGAGAGCTGCAAATTCCTGATTGTTTCTCTTGCACAACCAACTCTGCTCTGAGCTACAGAGTTAGGTCACCCTTAGATTCCACTAAACAAGGATTTCAAGAAACCTCAGATCTGGGCACGATGTCAACAACTGAAAGGAGGTGGCTGCTTTACAAACAGAAAGGATTTGATTTTTAAAAGCAGTTGATAAATGTATAAACCCCAGCTGCAGAAAAGGCTCAGCACTTAAGACAAAGATTCAACAAAGTTTTAATTCTTCAGATGGCTTGGCCTTGTTTCCCATCTGGAGTTCAGGGCATTCAGGATATTTATTTTTTAAGTGGGGAGGTGGGCACAGGGAAAATGAAGTAATAAAAAAGACTGTTTATAACATTGTGTTCATCTTAACAGCAAATCTCTAGTATTTCACAGCACCTCTGAAGAAGAAAATGGCAACCCACTCCAGTACTCTTGCCTGGAAAATCCCATAGATGGAGGAGCCTGGTGGGCTACAGTCCGTGGGGTCGCAAAGAGTTGGACACAACTGAGCGTCTTCACTTCACTTCTGAAGGTCAACAAAGGTTTTTTTGGACAACAATTTGCTCAAAGAGCTTGCTCTGAATCTTGATCTGTAATTTGTGGATTAAGAACTAAGTATTCTGTCTTCTAATTGTTTGGTACTAGCAGCAGTTACTTGGAAAGGTACTCACAAACTGTCTAGCTAGTTGGTTTAAAGGAAATAAAGAAGGAAAAATGTGCCTCCACCTAAAATGGTACACTTATGGAAAGCCATTCAAGGTCCTCCCCTTGGCAGGCATTTGTCAACACATGCCACACCCTCACCCCAGGCTCTGCAAAAAAATTTTATTGCCAGTTCGTCTGCTGCAGACCCAAAACTCACAAAGAGCATCTTCTGATTATGATTGTTTTAGGCTTGACTTTTCATTGAGCATAGGCTTTCAGGTAGCTCAGTGGTAAGGAATCTGCCTGCAATGCAGGAGGTACAGGTTTGATCCCTGGGTAAGGGAGATCCTCTGGAGAAGGGAATGGCAACCCCCCAGTATTCTTGCCTGGAGAATTCCATGGACAGAGGAGCCTGGCAGGCTACAGTCCATGGGATTGCAAAGAGACACAACTGAGCATGCAGGCACATTCATTGAGCATATCAAGCACCCTATTTCTCTCCCATAGAGGGGGAATAAAAACACCATTTCTCTCCCATAGAGAAAAAAAAAAAACACACAAACTATTTCCGCAAACCTGTGTGTTAAAATACTGCTCAAGAGAAGATAATCAGCGTGGGCTCTACTGCTTTGGGGAGCAGAGCAAGAGATCCATAGATAACATAGGAGGGAGGAGAAAATACAAATCTCTTCCAGTTAAATATATGCAGCTAAGTTTCTCTGGTGGTTTAATCAGTATGGAAAGGAAAAAAAAAAAAAACCCTCTTTGGGCTCCTTAGTATTTATTTAGGCAGATCAAAGGGCTTTTCCATCTAGCTTCAAACACTGTGGGAGTCATTTCAGATCGCAAACAATACTCCTCAATGAGTTCTGAAAATAGCTTTCCTGGGAAGGCGGGCCATGTGCTAAGCGGGGCTTGGATTCTGCTCCACACCCCAGCCAACACGTTCCTCTCCCACAAGGCAATACACACACATCCCATCCACATACAGGAGGGAGTCCCCCCAGACTCTTCCATGCTGATGAGAAGAGGAAAACAAAACCCTCCAGCTTCACTGACATGTTGCTGGCTTGCATGGGTCTCCACTAAGCTAAGCAGTCCAATGGACCAACCCCTCCCTGAGTCTTTCACTGGGCAGATGGGAATCGGAATTCTTGCTCATTTAAACCGGAAGGGCCCTGTCCCTTACCCCATTTCCTGTTCCAAGCCACTTATCAGAAGTTAGGCTCCTGCCCTTTGAAAGCTGCACAGCAGAAGTTGAAAAGGGTTAGGAAATCAACCTGAGTTAAGGAAAAAAAAATCCTAAACTAGCAAAGTTAGGGGTGGAGCCCAAAGTGAATTGCCTCTAGCTAAAAAACAGGACCTGAAGGTGAAAAAAGTAAAATACCAGGAAATGCCAGGTGCATTCTCTTACCTACACCCTACTCCACCCCTTGACTGTCTTCTTTCTCTCCTGAGTCACCCACTATACTTCAAGCCAAGAGACTCTTTCCCAAATGAGTAAGAGGGGACAGGAGACAAAAAGTTAGACATCAAAGAGATCACAGGCCTCGTCTGGGGGCTGCCTATAGAAAAAAGCCACCCATAATTACCCATGGTAATCAAGCAGGAATACCACATATAACTGTCATCATTTTTGTCCAACACTGAAACCTTCCCTCTGTCCCATAGGCTGAAATACTCCTGACTGGAGAGCATGGCCCCAATAGGAACAATGAACAGAATCAAGGAATCATAAGGTCTAGTTGATACAGCAATAAGTCAACAGGCCCCTGAATAATTCAGAACTATATTTAGGGATTAATGACTATTCAAAACAGTCCTCCTGAACTAATGGCAAGTTGTACAGAAGCCATGGGAATATTTTTTTCTTCTGCATTTTAGCATTTGACCAAAACTTCTATACAATATGAGGTGAATTTAACTTAGATGTTTAAAAATGTCACCAGCAACTACTAAACTCACTACAGAAAAAAGATTAAGCAGCCCAGATTTCAGGAACTGCAAGGAAGTACATAGCTAGTTACATGCTGAACCTGCACATATACAGTTCTCCCAACAATAATATCCAGATGTTTGTTTAGTGTCTGAGCAAATCATGGTAATTCTGCAGAAAGATTTGTTTGCAGAAATTAGTGAAAAGAATATTGTGGAAGAGAATAAATGAAAGTGATAGGATATTCCAGACTCAAGTGCAAGATAATTTACCTCCCCTCAAAGGAGGGCTTAATAATGCACAAGAAGAGGAACACTGACTCTTCCTTCAATCTCCCAGGAGACCGGACAGTGAAATGCTACTGAAATCAAGACTTATGCTCCCGTTCAGCCACTAGGCAGTTGAGGCCATGCTCAACCTATGAAGTCAAGGGTATGTTAATTACACGACTAATGATGGCTGAAGAAGGCTACACGTTCAGGTTGGCAGGTCATTTACTAAGCCAAGGACCAGCCATGCATTGCAGAGTTTGTTACACCAAATGCCTGCCCATTACTTCCCTTAAGGTTCCCAACACACAGCAGAAGCTGGTTGGGGATGAGGTCAGGGAATGACAGAAAGGGAACTGTCTTACCTGGCTGCTCCATACTCAGGGGGATGCTGATACCTCATCAGTTGCCCCTCTGTTCTCCCTGGCTGGTTCAGACGATGCTCACTATAGTAGTGCCCTGGCTCTTGGGGCTTGCACACTACAGATTGGGGTGGCATGCCCTTGAAGGGATACTCTGGTGGGGGGCCTCGGTGTTCCATGCCCTTCAGGCTATGCTGGCTGGGAGGTGGCCCTTGGGCCTTGTAGAAATCACTGGAACTTGTGGGATTCTTGTACATGTCATTGGGTTGTGGTGGGGAGAGGGGAGCGCTGGTAACAGGCGGATGGGCCTTAACTCCGCTGGTAGCCAGTGACATCTGCATGAGTCGTTCACTCAGGGAGCGAACGTGTCCTTGCTTAAGATCTCTGAGTCCTTCATCCTGGTGCATCTTTCCAGGATTGAGCCGCTGAACTGATGGGCGTCCCTCAGTCCTCATCTTCTGGTTGGTCACTCCAGTGACATAGAAGGCAGCTCCGACACTGGCATGCTGTTGGCCCCGAAAATACTGGGACTGGACCTTGGCTTCCTCATAGGTCGGGAGTTCTTCATTATTCTGCATCCGAGGAGACAGCTGTTTCTCCATGATGATGTTTTCTGACTGAATTTCCTGCCCCTGAGGTTCCTGCCGGGCAGCATGAGCCACAAGCTGTTGGTGGTGATCTTGGGGACTCAACACATCATTCTGAGGGCCTGGGTTCCCACTGCCACTGGGGAAAGGAGGGCCGTTCCCTGTGGCTTGCTGGTGTATGGCAAGCAGGTTGCGATTCTCACTGGGATTGCCATAGCGAAGCTGCTCTTGTAGCAGACGCTGCAACACTGTAGTTCCTCCACTTGGCTGTTCATCAGAATTTCTCATCTCTATTGCTGGTGGTGCCTTGTGAAGAGAGAGAGAAATTGGGCACCTGGGCTGCCCTTGACCTGGGAAGGGGAAACAGGAAGCTTAACACCCAGTTGATGGATAAATCAGTCCTCTAAAAGGGGAGAAAATGAGTATTTGGGGGGTGAGGATTTTTCTGCAGAGATCAAGTAGAAAACTGAATCTAGAATTAATCAGTTAATTGTTGGCCACTTCTGGCTCTAGCATTGACATGAGGAGGAACTTGGAGGCATACGAGTCCTCTGTTTCCTCTTTTACTTTTAGCCTGGGTTAAGTATTCACTCTTAACTCCTAAAAGGACTGAGGAAACCTGAAGCAGTCAAGTGAGGTGGTCAGAGAGTGCAATTTTCCTAGGCCCTTATCAAGTTCATCTCTCTGTATTCTATTGAAATGAAAAATTCAACTCTTAAGGTTGTGGCAGTGGGGGCAGGAAATTACCCCATAGGCAGGATCTGTAAAACAGTTCAGCATGTGGAGGGAGCTACAAAATGTCAAATGATAACTAAGAAAAATAAAAAGTGATGAGAGAGCTTGGTTGTACCAGATAAAAATGATCTCTGCTTGATGCAAATCTTTTTCTCTGATCTCATAAAACTCTGAAACATATCTTTTTTTAAAAAATCCTTTTTGTATTGTCCATTTTGGATGCTCCTTGGCTTAATAAGAGAAGAGCTTGGGATAATCGTTATTGACAAAGTTTCTCTTTCAGCCATCCAGGAATAGTCATTGAGCATTTGTTGTTGTTGTTGTTGTTGGGTACGAGGAGTTAAAAGGGGAAGCCCTCTTTCATTTGAAGTGTGCCTCTGATAGTAGTATAGTATCCACAAATTCATTAGAAGCTCATTAAATCTTTGGACAGAATCTGTCTGTCATGTTAAGTCCTGCAATTTGATACTAAGCATCAGCAGTGAAAACTTTCACCCCAAGGATCTTAAGTAGTGTTGGAGAATGGACATGATGTCACACCAAGTCACAATTAGGTCAACCTAATCAGCCTCAGGTTCCTAGAGGAGAACTTTGGACTCCTGGCTTCCAGGTCCTGATTTCTATGATATGAAATAGTTTCCAGTGTCTCTGGAAACATGATCCCCTTTGCCTTCAGTCTTATAGGGACTGACCCAGAAGATGTGTGTGGTAGCTGGAGATAGGTCATCCCCCTTCCTTTTCTACTTTTCTGATTACAGCTACCTGGTTTCTAATTGTTCTATTGAGCAGTTTGACTCCACAGTTAACCTTCCAGAGGCCCCCTTTAAATCCCATTCATCAGATACTTGGGGGAAGCATATACCAAGGGGCTGAGCAACCTGCCCTTAAGTCCCCTTTCCCTCCCTGCCAATGACCCTCAGGGACTCCTGTATTTCAACTGTCAGACTGAGATTTTCTATTAGGCTGACAAGTATAACACAAATCTCTCTTGGTGCCTTAAACTGGAAAGATGATTACCAAATTACTTCTCCTCTGTCAAAAGAAAAATAGAAATGGGAGTGTGTATGGTTAAAACAACACCACTCAGAAACCCCTCCTGCAAGGCAGGGAGATCCAGACAGTGAGCTGCCCCAGACTCTAAAGAGCACACCACCCCCTCCCACCCCACACCCATCCCACCCCCCACACACACAGGCTCACACACACACACCAGCACCCACACACACTGATGGTCCATACCTATTTCTGCTTTCTTTTAGGCTTAAAGCCTTGCTCAGGATAGGGAATTCTTGCTTATGAGCAGCTCCAGAAACCGCAACAGTAGATTCCCTCTGCCCTAACACTCAGGTTCAGGGTAAGCGTCGCCAAGAGTCCAACCACTGGTCACTCTGAAATGGTCAGGAGGGGGAGGGGGAGAAACAAAAATGTCGTTTCTATTTTGCCACCAATGGCCAACAGTTAACCAAACCAGTTCTTCCAAGGGGATGACTTCTCCTCCCGTTTTGTTTTGTTGTTGTTGTTTTTGCCTTTTATGTGAGTGGCAGAGTCCATTTCCACAAGGACAAAAGGCAATCTCACTCTGGTGGCTGTATTCAGGAGGTCAGCCAGTCTCCTGGAGATGGAAATGTGCAAGATGGCTCTGTCATAGCCTCACAGCCCTCAGGAGCTGCTGCTTCCATTCTGAGTTGGAATGGTGGTTTAGTCACTAAGTCGTGTCTGACTCTTGTGACACCATGGACTGTAGCTCACCAGGCTTCTCTGTCCATAGGATTTTCCAGGAAAGAATACTGGAGTGGGTTGCCATTTCCTTCTCCAGGGGATCTTCCCAACCCAGGGAGCGAAGCCAGGTCTCCTGCACTGCAGGCAGATTCTTTACCGACTGAGCTACCATGGAGTTGGAATGGTAGGTGATGACAAAAGCTGTACCTACCATCACCTTGAGAGTGCGACCTTTAAACTGCTATCAATAGCAGGGGAGGTGAGTTGGGCTCACTGGCCCACATCCCAGAAGGGAAAGCAGTCATCAAAAGGTAGATTTTAGTCAAAAAAGAACACTCGGAGAAGCTCCCGATTAATGGCTACAGTCTCAGAGGGCCAGAAGAAAATCCCAACTTCTTGTCAACCAAGCCATTAACTATTTGTTACATCCTGGCTATTCCAGATATTTGCCAGCCTCGCGCTAGACACAATGAGGGATAGAAAGGACACACAATATATAGTTCCTGACCTCACAGAGCTTACAATCTGATCAACAGTCCACCCATTCTTACTGGCGTAGCAAAAGTGACGGCCCTTCTTCAGCAGCAACTCTTCTCTGAGAAGATGGCTTTACTTGCTTTCTCAGTGCTTCCACTGCCCCAGTATGTCCATGAAAGGAAACTACTAGACTCACATTATAGAGACTAGATGCAAATGCCCACCAGATATGGATTTGAGATAGTCCTCACTTCGAATGACTCCTTTGACCCTCAGCAAAAAGCCCTGCAGGTCCAACCAAAATGGTTATGAAACTGAGGGGTTGAGGTGAGAGGCACATGATCCACATTCCTATTTTCTGCCCCGGACTAGCCATGACTCACTCATATCACTTAAAGGAAAGCCTTTAATCTGCACCAGGGATGCCATTTGAGGAGCAAAGCAATGCAAAGGAAGCACACCCGCGTCCCCGTGCTTTGGGAGCATGTCCAAAACATCCAAGTTGAAAAAAATATCTACAAAACCGCACGATGATTAATTTAACATTATTTCCTTGCAATGTTGCCAAAAATAAAGTGAACAGATATAGAGTGAACAAACACGGATATTTGTCTTTCCATCTTGTCTCGGTCCAATATATAATGACAATCAAAAAGCAAAGTCATCTCCAGTATGCAAGGTAATTGTTTTAGGGTGTCTCCCCTAATTTCAAAAGCAGAGAAACAACTTCTAATTGGAATCAAAGCTGGGCTGTTAACAGAGCTATGGTAAATAACTGCTGTGTTTCTATTGTCCAATTTTGAACAAAACAGTTGTTTTTTTTTTTTTTTCCAAATGAAACACACAGAAAACAGGCTTTTAAACTTGAGCTCCTGGTAAGAAACCACCACGACTCTTTTCCAGAACTATTTAGATTCTTCTTACTGATTTTGACTGGCTTGCTCCTGACACCCAGTTCCTCACCAAGAAAACTTATCCAACATCTTGCTCTCTTCCTTCAATTTTGTCCCCTCTCCTCCATATCCTTTTCAAAACCCAAATCAGTTTGTGTCAACCAGACAGACTGTCCCTTCCCAGCACCCCGCCCCCTGGCCTTTTTGTTTCTGTTTAAAAGAGGAAAAGAAATCAGTCTAAGAGAAAAGCTTTGCTGATTCCTTTCCAGTTTACCGATTTTCTTCCCCTACAAAACTTATGTTCATCTACATGTTCAGAGTCACATAAGAAGGAAAACACTACTCCATTTTTTTAATAGAGAAAAGACAGGAAGATTCCTCGTCTCATGCGCAAGAACTAAAATAGTATGAACTCTGCAACCTTTCATCTGCCCACAGCTTTAATCATGCCACTGCCAGGGGTCTGACATCATCTTCAATCAATAAAATAACCTTGTTTCTCCTATACAAACAGACTTTCCCTGAGGATATTTGATAGGGGAAGAAAGGATTTCTGTGGTTCTCTCTTTAAAAATGCAATTTGAATATATATATTCAACTCTCTTGTAACAACAACAGGGCAGCAGGGCCAAGATAAGTTCTCACTGCATTTGCAGTCATCGGCCACTCCCAGTGTACCTGAGAGGGTGAGCCAAAATGAAACACGTCTGTGACAACCAAGGTGTTTCCCAAGCTAAGTCCCAGAAAAGCAGCCTTACAACATGGCCAGGACACACCAAATTCCCACCCTTCACATAAATTTTGAAATCTGCCTATAAGATCTTCTTTCTATCCCTTCTACCTCCTCCACTGATTCTGCCCTCACCCCTCACTCTACCAACCAGGATGAAGAATCTGAGTCTAGGGAACCTGTTTCTCTGCTAAATCTTGGTCAACTTGTTTCATACCATTTTACTTCCAGCTAAATGGAAAGAAGCCAGTTCAAAGTTTCCCCTATATCTGTGTGCATGTATTTGTGCATAAGACACACACAGACACAAAATCTCCCACACAAAGATGCCAAACAGGCCATTGAATTCTCTCATGTCCTCTCACATTGGTCCATATTGTGGCCTGAAGTGTTCTAGAGAACACCTTTCCTAAGAGTCTTGAAATGCAAGCTACTAATTTGCTTCCTTTGGGAGGTAAGAAACAATGGTCCCTTTGCAGGTTATCCCTAAATCTTTCCATGGGTAATGGGCAGGCAGTATAAATATCATGATTAAGAGCCTGGGTCCAGAACCACACTGCCCAAATCCAAATCCTGGATCTATGGTTTACTAACTGACCTCGCCCATGTCTCTCAATCTCCCCAAGTCTCAATTTCATCATCTGCAAAATAGGGCTAACGGTGCTCATACCTCATATGGTTGTTATAAAGATTAAGGGAAGTAGTCTATGTACAGTGCTAACCTTGGAGGCCAG